ACATAAGCCTCTTGCTTTTCCTGACTCCTAGGGGTTCGCAAAAAGAACTATCCTCCTACCATTTTTCATGAATTTTCTTTTGCACGGAGAGAAAAAAATTGCTCCTTTTCTTTTTCTTTGCAGTCCTGTCCTGATGTGAGTTACAGTGTCAAATATTTACTTTTAAAAGAGTTTTAAACAATTGCAAACAAGACTTTTTTTTCCTGATTGTTCAGGCATTTCTCTTAATGAACCCTGAGAAGAAATTACTGCGTTTAACAGATCGCTAGCAAGTACGTTTTATGCCGGTCAACCCTTCAGTGTTTGATCAATACCTCCAAGCATTTACCATACCAGAAGATGGATGGCAATTTAAAGCAGCCTGTGCATTGAATAATGAATAAGGAGAAGGATATAGCATCTCATCTACTGCAGAGTACTGCCTTCAGGTCAAGTTGTAGGACCTGGACTACACTGAGTAATTCCTATTGTTTATATTGATACGGTACTTGCATGATTTTATTACATAAAAGAAGTCATCTATCTCACTGCCATGTTACTTCATCACATTAGCCATTCACTGAAGTGCCCTTTGTAAGAACAACTTAAATAATGCAAATCTTGTTCAAAGATTTCAAAAATACTGCAAAACATTTTCACTTCTGTACAGTCTAAACGTGTACTCAGTACTCATCTCAGATGTGATGAGTGTCAGGACACAGCCCCACAAAGCATAAAGGGCCACAAAAGCCCCACTGAAATCTAAAATGCCAAGGATTTGTCACACCCAGAGCTGTGTGTATAACTGATTTATGAATCTGCAGCAGGTCTGGAAAATAATCTTTTAAAAAAAAATCAAAAGCCTTTCCATCTTGGGGGGGGTAGTAAATTTAAAAGAAGAAAAGTTTCAGGTGATACAAAACACTTTGTTAGAAATTTGTTTTTCTTGTTTTCAAACTTTTAAAACCATTTTTAAAAAATAAAATTGAAGAAAATTCCTATTCTATATCCCTTTGTAGACTGTTTAAAAGTATGCTGATTACCCGGGGTCACAGACTTCTACACGTCCAGGACTGTGGCAACTGCTTTAACAACAAAGCTGTTACTAATAGTGTCATCAGGTGGTCACTATACCTATTGGGCAGCTGACAAAATTACTGTACAGTAGAATAAGTGTGGGCATATAGGTAGAACATTTTATAGATTTAGGAAGAGCAGAGCTAAAGGCTGCAGTGGCCGCCTTCTTTTTCTCCCAACTCAACCAAAGGTTTGTGATCACCATAGCTTTCTTGGTGACGCCCAACAGCAGAACTCCTTCCTACCATACCATGAATTCTAAAAAGCAAGGCTCACGTCTTTGCAAAAATCCTTTCCCTGTCAGTAAGAAGAATGACTCAACATCAGTGCCCACAGACCTAGTATTCAGACTAAACCTAATGCTCTAAGTAAATGAAGAAGTAGAAGATGCAATCAGTCAACAGCAAGAAGGGATGTCCAAGGGAAAAACACTGAATGTGCTGGTGTTACTCGTGTCTCCAGGCCTCACCTTATCCTGATACCTTCCTACCCCTGCCGACCCAGCTCCTATGAGTGACGGAGAAGTTTCTTTACTCCCAGGAGCACAGCCTCAGCCATTTTCCCCCCGCCCCCATTTCACATGGCCCAAAAAGAATGAGGTCCTTGGGATCTGGTCTGAGACGATTTCCCCAATCGAGGTTTACGTTGGATTTGTAAAAGCCATAGCCTACCCCTTGCCTGTGTTGTGCTCTCACTGGGTTAGTCTGGGCTTTGTAAGTGTTAACAGCCTTGCTAAATTCAAGTGAAAACACAGGCATCTAATACTGGACATGTGACAGGGCAAGAGTTACCAAGGGAGAAAGCTGGGTTTCACTTAACTTTCTGTTTGACATGCAGTCACTGGAGCTCAGCTTTAGTTTTTGAAAACATAACCAATTAACCACTACCAATTGTTCCTATTCTGGTACAAATCCATTTCCAATTTATTCAAGTCTTAATTTTCCTTTTCCTATAATGTTTAACATGGTTTCAGTTAAACATTATTCACATGATTCATGAAACCCTAGAGTTCATTTTCCCCTTGACGGTTGTTTTCTAATTACAGTTCTTTGTTTAACATGTCCCAATCTCATGTATATTTGAAAACCTCCTAGGAATGATTCCCCTGTCAGCCTTATGGATGTGTTCTGTTTGTTCCACTTTCATACGTTCCCAATCATTTCAGCCGTTAGCTATCCCACTTGTAACTGACTTATTAAAATTTCATTTTCCAGGTTTCAATTGAATTTGTGGGCTTCAATAACAGAGAATCTAGGGGGAAAAAATGGTATTTGTGATCTTAAATATGAAACGGTATCTTAAACTTTCAAAACCGTACACAATAAGATGATGGCAACTGTCACAGATGATGGTTAATATTCATGTGTTGGGATGTTCTGAATGCTACAAAGGACACTGGATAAAATCAGATATTCTAGGTTTCAGATAACTGGGGATATATTCAATATAATTAACATACATTAGGTGACATGCTCTTATTTCACGTAACAGGATATCTTGGATGATGGAGGCTCGGTTAACCAAAACGCTGCTACACAGAACATGCGCTGTCCTGCCACTCTTACATATGTAAGAAGCGCCCTGTTGCAATTCTTCCTGCCAAATCCACATCTGAGATTAGCCCACGGGCAAAAACTGCTTCTGTAATAGCAAGGGTCACTTGAAGCACTTTGGAAAACTGCAAGTAGGTCCGCTTCAGTGCATCATCTGACCATGACTCTGACATATATAGTCATATAGTCTGGTCATTCTGCACTGTATTTTAAAGGGATGTTATTAGCTATTTTTCAAGCAGGCTTTGTAAGGTCCCTTGATGTTAAGAAACTCAAGAGTTCCTTTGCACACTCTAAAGCAGGGGTTAGCAGTGCATCAGGAGTGGTAGGCCAAAATTACCCAGCTTAGTCCGAGGTGGGCCAGCCCTTCTAACCTGGCTGCCGACACTGTGCAGCTGTGGTGCAAGCAAAGCCCAAAACGCTGCTGAAGCCTCCTGCTGGCAAAAGCCCTGGGTTTGTGGGCAGAGTAGAGTGGCTCTAACCCATAAGTTGCTGACCCCGGCTCTGAAGGGCTTCAAGTGTCTAAACACTTTGCCATGAACAAGGCAGAGAGAATGCAACCAACTGCTGGCCCTTCGTTCTGATCATCTGTGGACATGATCACGAAAGGATCATTAACTCCAGCTCTCCTCTCACACTCCATTTTGCCTCCGTCCTGTCTTACAAAGGGAAAAATAATGAATACAGTGAAAGAAAATAAGTTCATTTTAAAAGTTTGCCGCTGGGTAGATACAACACATAAGTAAGTGGTAAGGATAAAGGCCACCTCACCATATTAAGAAATCTAAGCATCATGTGAATGAAAGAGTAGTTTCTAGATGAGTGATTCTCAACCAGGGTGATGGAGCACCCTGGGGTACAGCAAGATCCTCTGAAGGGTGCCACAGGAATTGCAAAGAGATGAGCAGATAGAGGCAGGCTCTAAGCATGAGGAAAGACGCAGATAAGGCAGGCTCAGGCTCTCCCTGCCTGCCTGTTCCAGCAGCCCCACTGCAAGAAGGTAAGTGCTGCAAAAAATACATTTGTTTTCTAAATGGGGTGCCACTAAATTTCCAAAAGCCAAGGAGGTGAGCCTTGAGTCTAGTGAAGTGTGTCTTGGGTCTAAAAAGTTTGAGAACCACTGGGCGTGTCCACACGAGATGCTTAATGCCCATTGGACTAACTCTACTGAGTAACAGTGTGGCTGGCAAAAAACATGCTAATGCGTAGTAAATTAGTCCAATGAGCATTGAGCATCACAAAAAAGCGTTCATTTGTGCTAATGTGCAGTAGCACCGATTATGGTGCATTAAGTTAGTATTTGTTATTACAGGTACTAAACTATTATTAATACCTGTTATTACAGGTACTAAACTTAATGTGCCATAATTACAGTGCATTAATGAACATGTGGACGTGCCCACTCTGCAAGATACATGCACTGACTTAAAAACCTTAAGGCTATTTGGAATCATTATCTGGTCTGACTTCCAACTGGAAAAAAAAAGTCTAGGAGGTCTGGAGACATTTTATGCTGGCCTTGAATGAGCTGGGACAATGGAGAAAGCTGGTAAAGCTTCTCACATATGCCAAAACATACAAGCCAAGTCAAGCATCACATAGGAACAAAAATCAGCTGTCTTGAGTAAAGCAGACATAGATTTATTTACAATGGCTGCAAAAAAAAAAATCTATGCTTGTCCTAGCCGATTATTCTCATTTCTCTGAGATGGCCTGACTGGAACTACTGCAGCTGAACTGCTGATTGGGCATATCAAATCCATTTTTGCTAGTCATGGTTTGTCTGACACGCGAATGTCTGACAACGGCTTGCACTGGAGTTTAAGCCATTTGCGACGGAGTGCAGCTTAACATGTAAACATGGACCCATTATCTGGAATCCAACAGGCTGGTGGAAAACGCTGTCAAGATAATGAAGCACTTATTGAAAAAGGCTGCAGTTAAATTAATCACTGTTAAATTACAGAACCCTGCAGACGAAGATCGAGTTGTTACTGGCTGACATTTGTTCAACAGAGAACTGGAAGCAAGCAGGCCTGGGCTGTTAGAATGGAGGTCAGAATCAGCGGGGAATTGCAGAAGTATTAGAGACAGGAGGCAAACCAAAAAGGTGTGATGATTTGGTGTCCCAGGAGCTGCTGCCATTTAAAGAATGGCCATCTCTGCTTGCAAAGTTACTGCATCCTCAGATGCTCTGCCCTGGGAAGGCTGCCTCCGAAATGACAACAGACAGACCTGCAGGGTGAGCCCGTCATTTCAGACGCATGGAAATGTACTGCGAAGGACCACAAATGCCTTTTCTAACTCCCTGCTGAGTTGACCACAGGGCAACAATAGTAGGTGAGAGAGCTGAACCTCAAGACCTGGCATAATCGGGATGAGCGGACTTACCACAGCCTGGCAAGTGCTGCTGATGACTCGGGGTGGACTCATCAATCCATGAGACATTGTGAGGCTCAACAGCGGAGAAGCTAATGGAACAATATTAACAAATTGAGTTCATAGATTGGTTATAAAGTATTTGACATTCTGTATTATGTTAATGTTGCTTTATTGTTAGTATTGTGTTTGTCTGGGGAAAGAGCTGTAGAGAACTCTGCCTTTAAGAGGTTCAGGCAAGAAACAGTTGGTACAGGCAAACAAGGTGCTTTGGGTAACTCATATCTTTTATTAGACCAACTCAGATAGTTGGAAAAATTCTCCGTAGCAAGCTTCTGGGTTTAAATGCCCATCATCAGGCTGAGGAAGCATCTGCAGTTGGTGCATGCTCTCAGATTCACACCCCAAACCCTTGGACAGTCTCTGGATTCACTGGTGTGCCTGAACACAAACCTATCTTATTGTCTTTCGGTTTGGCATCACTTGGGACACATACAGGTAAAAACAAAAGGCATTAGGCTGAGCAGTAATCGGAGTCAATTAAGTAAGCAATTGCCTAAACAGCATTAAAGAGATCGATAGGAAACAAACAGCAACCAAGCTTTGCCACAAGGACATACAGCAGAAGGACAAAATCATGTCTGCACAGAAGAAAGAGCTGGCAGATGGAGAAATAGTTATATGCAGCGTATCTACACAGATGCTTAGAGATCTTGGTAGAAAGGGATGGATAAGGAGTGTTAGCGATAGACTATGCAATTCAAATGACAATCACAACCCCAGTTTGGTAAACACGTCCTTTTAAAAAAAGAAAAGAAAAAAGGAATTATTTTTTCTCCATTCCTCAGACCAAGAAACTGTAATTAATTTAGGAAACAACCCACTCGTAGATAATGAATCTGGTATTACTTTAACACTGTTGTGATGGTCACCTCCCTAATGGAAATCCCCCTGTCTTCATTTCATGATGGCTTAAGTCAGAAAGATGCTATTAATACAGCACAGCAGCCTGCAGTTGCCTGGAAGGTGCCTTTTGAAGATCACGTGAAGATGATGAGAAACGTCCTGCACTTGCAGGCTCATCACACATTTGCTGGCCACAGTTAACTAGAATCTCTCTTCACAATCATCAAGCCACAAAAATGCTGGCTGTTTTACAAAAGAAAACTATCAATGAGCTAAGGCATCTGCGGCCAGCGGGCCTGTGCCAAGGAAAGCTTCTCCTGCATCTTCTTGCATTGTGAAATCTTATCCCATGCAGCTTGGCAGCGCCTATCCTTATGCCCAAAGATCACGGAATGAAGATGTGTCTGGCACGAATTGCATCTGCTCAAACTGCTCACATGTTCTCCTAGTTTCTTTCCTACACACAATCTGCCATAAATCCCCAAATATATTTTCAGTTAATCATCAGTCCCTTACATAACATTTCTGACTTCCACTGCAAATCCATAATGCCGCTGTCCCTACAGCTAGCCCTCCTCAGAATCCAGATTACCTGTAAATGCTTGCAAATCAGGCTCAACTGCTCATTTGTGGTCACCTCCAAAATTAAACAACCCCCCCCCCCCAAAAAAAAAAAAAAAAAAAAAAAAAAAGGTGGAGGATAACTTCAGATCAAGCCATTTGGTGTCTGGAAAATATTTATGCTCTCTTCAATTTGTGAAGGTCTTTCTTAAATGCATGAGAGAAACGATGACATCTCCCTATGGGCACAGCTTTTGTTTGAAACAGCACAACAAGCAGCAGGATTATGGCTAAACTTAATGCTTTGCAAAAATAAATAAATAAAGATTTAACATCTTCACTTCTTCCTATGAGATTTTGCCACTCCTCACTAGTTATAATTAATACTTTGCCTCCTACTACCCAAAACAGGGCTTATTGTCTGAACAGAAACACTATGGATGCCTTTGCATTTCAGATCCTGCTTCCAGCTGCAACAGCACCTCTGGCTTCAGAACTACCCTATTTTCCTGTATATAAAACCCCCAATATAGCTTACACCCTATTTTTGAAAGGCATCATGAAGGAAAAAAAACACACAAAAAACCTGCCCAGGGTTATGGCTGCACAGAGGCTAGTCTTCAACCCACTCAGCCTCCCTTTCCTGCATAACTAAAGTCCTAGATAAAGCCTGGCCTCCATGGGTGGATCTCTGAGCTTTAAAAGAGCCAGACAGTGGGTCCAACTGCACAGTTACTGCACGGTCATTTGGCGGCTGCGCAGTAACCGCCTTTATTTTGCAGTCCCGGCAGCGCATGGGTTGTTTCTGACCCTACTGAGCAGTACCAATGAACTACTTGTTGCTTGTTGCTGCTGCAAAATAGCATCAGAGTCAGGGTTTCGTGCCTGCCAACACTAGGTCGCCCTAGCATCTTGTGTAGATGCGCTCCCTGTGAAATAGATGGCACGATCCCCCTAAGAAAGCTGAGCTTCATTAGTAACCAAAACTCATGGCAGAGCTCACGTCTTTTATTAGACCAATTAGAGTTTTGCAACCAAAAAAAACCAACTTTAATTGCAAGCTTTTGATTGCAAGCTTACAATTAAAGACATTTTTTGTTGTTGCAAATATCTACTTGGTCTAATAAAAGATACCACCTCTACCACAAGTTCAGATTCCTTTTTTCTCTAGATCAATACGTCTGCACCCCGGATACCTGACCTTCATTCGTGGTACTTCCGGACCCTTAAAAAGGCGAGATTTCTACAACCTATTCAAATGGCAGTCGTTGCTCAATTTTGCAGGCCTGTTTTAGGGAATTTAAAATACAGACGTCAGAGGTAAGGGAACACGGGGGTACGTGGAGCGCAGACCCGCGCAGTGGCGAACTATGGGTGTGAACTCAACGGTGCCATGACTCCATCAGCTGCCTGAAGAGCAATTCCAGGGCTGCTGCCTAGATGGGTAAAAATTAAAAACAAACAAACAAACAAAACCCTTGCTGGCTTCATAGGCCACCCCCACATTTAATTCTTATTTTTTTGGAAGGAGGGCTGATTGGCAGGGAGGAAATATGCGTGTTTCTACTAGACAATACGGTAGGCATCACTTTCTTTTGTACTCTCTGAACAGCGGGGACTACATTCCCCACAATGCCCCTCGCGCCGGGCCAGGACAGGCAGGGGAGGTCTCTTCTCTCGCGAGATTTGGGCGCGGCCCGGAAGTGCCCGCGCCTTGGAGACGGGAGCGGGACGCGGCGCGCACTGACAGAACTGCCGCCATGGCTGAGACCGACCCCAAGACCGTGCAGGACCTGACCGCCGTGGTGAGGCGCTTACCTGGGGCCGTGGCCGTGAGCGCCACCTCTGGAGCGCGAGCCGCGCGGGACGACCGTTAGGGGCGGGGCCGGGCGGCCGTTGGGGGCGTGGTCTGGGGGGATGGCATCAGGACCAGCGGTGCGCATGCGCAATGCGGGCTGCCAGGGCACAAGGGCCTGGAGGGGTGACGTCAGGAGCAGTGGTGCGCGTGCGCAATGCAGGCTGCCAAGGCACAAGGGCCTGGGGGTGACGTCAGGGGCAGCGGTGCACATGCGCAGTGCGGGCTGTTAGGGGACGGAGTGCCTGCTGCTGCCCCCTACTGGCAGGGGGGTGGGGAGGCAGGTACCACAGCACAGGGGAGGAGCCGGGCACTGAGTTCGAGTCTCCCCAGTGCTGCGTCAGGAAGCTGGGCCCCCCAAAAGCCCGGCGCCATCTGGACAGGGCTGGATGTGGCTGCACAGCGTGCATTTTCCAATCCGGTGGTATCCCCGCAAGCTGGATGCTTGTCCCCGCCGGCTGGACTTGGGGCTGAGCGCCGCAGTCATAGAGCTCGAGCTCCCTCGTGCTCTTGTGTCTCGGCGTCCCCCTGTTGGCGTAGCGGTGGGGAGGATGGGGCTGCCGCACGGCTTCAAGCAGGGTTGCGGAGCTGCCCGTCCAGCCGTTCTCAGCCTTTTTAGACTCGAGGCACCCTCTGGGAATTGCTCGCTTTTAACTTTGCACTCAGTTCTTGACTATGAGTGGATAACAGGAGCACGTTTCAGGTTCGCGGACGTTTAAGGCTGGAGGGGACACCTCGCGAGATCATTGGGTGCCCCGGCCCAGCGCGTGTCCGCCAGGGTCAAATAGCCCCGGCCCGGCACGCCTCTGCCGAGTAACCGGCGTGCGCCCGGGCTCCTGTGGCAAAGCGCTCTACAGGACACGACGGGGCCGAACGTTTTAACGCTGTGGATCCCTAGGTGAAAACTCAGTAGATGTTGGCTCACATAACTGTGGTAACATCGGGCGACATGCCGGCAGCACCCTTGGAAGGATATCAGGGCACCCTGGTTGAAAGTTACTGCACTAGGCTAAAGAAGTAGAAAGAGGGGATACTTGGATGAAACGTTTGAAAGCGATGCTTTAAACTTAAGCCTTTCCCTGTGTTTTAGGTACAGACATTGCTTCAACAGATGCAAGACAAATTTCAGACCATGTCTGACCAGATCATTGGAAGAAATATCCTTTTCCGTACTCGTGCCTCTCTGGGTGTGCGTCAAAGATATTTGCAAACTTTTATGTCCATCAAACGCTTATCTTTGCAGCTCGGGTTGTTACCGTTAGCCGTCCCGAGTGAAGCTGTATGCAAGGAAATAAGAGTGTAAATCATGTACAGTTCATTTTCTTTAACTTGAGTTAACTTGATGACATGAGCTGTCGCATTGATGACCTGGAGAAAAACATAGCCGACCTCATGACGCAGGCAGGAGTGGAAGAACTAGAAGGAGAGAACAAGACGCCTGCTCCTAATAAGAGCTAAAGTGAGTGAATTTCTTCGCTTCCGAAGTGAACTCTTCTCCCTAATGATGTAAATAGCAGAACTGGCATTGACTTTAAAGGAGCCAATTTTTCATGCTCATTTTGAGAGGCAGACTGAAATTCAAATAGAGCAATTATGAAACTGCTGTAACAGGAATTTGTATCTTGCGCGGTGAATGCTAGGATATTTGTTTGTGATCTTTAGGAAGCTCCTACCAACTTGTTCAGGCAGGACGGCTGCTTCAATGACTAGAGGCATGGAGTATTAAAAATTGGAAACTGAGAAAAATACGATGTAGGAAGAGTGCAGACTGGTGTGCATAGCCTCTGCTCACGCAGCCTGACATCACTTGTACAATTAATGTTTATTCTGACTAATTGGAGTTGTGCTGTTGTTGCATCTAATTTCACTGACTCATTTCTGCCAGTCTCCCTAGCAGTGTCACTGTTTGCTGCCCAAAAATAGAAATTGGGAACAACCAGCTGCTTCGTCAGCTTTATAAGCATACTTTCATCAGCTTTATAAGGTATGGGTTCTGGCATGAGACTCCATTAAGAAAAATCTTTGGACTAGTCCAGGTTTGCAGATCATGGTGAAGTGATGCAAGTCCCATACACAGGGTGTGCCTCTGCTGGATTAGTGAGGTCAGTTTTGCTTGTGAGATTTCACTTAGTTCAGTGAAAAATTGTCACAAGGTGATTTTATTTTTTTTATTTTTTTATAATTGTTGTAGGCCTTGAATATAGGAAAGTCCCAGTGTTCACCATAGAGCAGTGGTTTTAAGGAAACTGGTTTTAAGCAGTTTTAGAAGAACCTTAAAATTGAGGACAGAACAAGATATCTTTTTCACTGTATCATCAGCCCTCAGCCGACACTCACAATCCACATTGTATTGTCTTGTCTGCTGGAAGGGAAGATTTTACTTTGAATTCTTACATATTCATCTTCTCCAAATATGATGTGGGCAGATGAGGGTTTTGATCCTGCAAACTTCTGTTCAGGTGTTTAACTTTATATTCTTGGCATTCTTGTTAGTAAAATTAAGGTCTTGCAGTTTAGATTAGTATGATCTTAATTGCACCAAAGTTTAGCTTTATTCTTCATATTCAGTCATGCTTAAATTCCTACTGGGACATTGCAGTTGCATACACGTGGAAGTTTCACACTTGCCAATCTCTCTTCATTTAAATGGGGGGTGGGGTGGAGACTGGCTGCCAGCTCACCTTCTTTGTATTCTACTAGCTTTGTGCAATATTTCTGTTGACTGTACTTGTCTAATCAAATTCTTATTTGCAATAATCTTTTATCTTCCTCAACAGGTTGCCAGTAAATTAGGATGAACGCTGGGATACGTTTTTTACAAGCCCGTGGGATTACAGAACAGCTTTTTGCAACTACTGTGTGTAAAAGCATTTTTATATGGTTATAGAGCTTGCATTCCTAATGTATATTGTATACCTAGGCTTAGGTTAGTTTATATTTTGATTTGTGTACTGTAGTTTCACTTTTTGAATTCTTGTTATAAAGGATCAACTGTGTTATTAAAACACAAATCTGATGGATCTGAACTAAAACTACCGAATGTGAGTGGATTTTTGTGAAGTCATTTCTTTTTCTCTGTTGACGATACCTTTTATAAACATTTCATTTTGATGGCGAAAGATCTAGTGATTTCTATTGAAATTGAAAAATTAACTTGTCATATGTAACTTTGTGGAATGAAGCACAAGATTAAAATACAGAGTTAGTTGTAGTACTATTTAGATTGCATAAATTACTGAACCAGTACAAGATTGTTTATTAATGTTTTTAATATATCCAAGATGATGCTTCTGGAAACTTGAGACTCCAGAAAAAGAACCACAGCTTGCTCATACTCTCGTATTACTTTACCTATTGAGTCTGTAATTTAATTCTCTAAAACATGCCTGCAAAATTGAGCAATGACTGCCATTCAAATAGGTTGTAGAATTAAAAAGCTGAGGTGCTATTAATTCTTGGTTAAGGTTTTCTAAGAGTATTGTAAGATACTACACTGAAACTCTGATAGCGCAGGTCCATTAACAGTGTTATATCTGAACAGTAGTGTTATGAACATAATGATAAGCCACTATCTGAGAAAAGTGCCAGGTCTTTGAGGTTAGATCACTGGTTCTCTGAATGAAACTCTGCTCATTAAGAAATGCCAGAATATCCTTGTATACAAAGGAAGGAAGGAATCCAGTTATCAGAGAGTTGTAAAGTCCTGGTTATTGTGTGAGCAACAAAAGGACTCTAGGACTCTTCATAATACCCTGATCCAGAAACCAAAACAATTATTAATCTCATATTAAACTTTTATTACTCCTTTTAATCTTGTCCAATTTGTATCTAGCTGTTAAAATTTAACAGGTTAAATTAGAGTTTTTGTTTTCATAAATATTTTCTGAATAGTCTTTGCATCCGTTTCACTGGAACACAAAAAAATGACTAGTGTTTGGAAGATTGGTGTGGCTGTTAAAATGCCAATGCAGTTTGTTTGAGCATAACTTTGGCATAACACTGAAAATGCATCAGAGGGTCTGAGAACTAGAGTGGAATTATGAAGGCAACACAAGATGTGATTTTTCAAAGCAGGAAAAACTGTACTATAAGCTCATAGTAATAGGGAAAGTTGTGACTTGTAGGAGATGTATGCTGTACCACCAGCCTTAGATTTGTTGTACTGTCATTAAAATACCTAATAAACTGTTAAATGGTAACATATAATAGTGAGATTATGTTTAAAGCATGGACAGTAGTGCATGCATTTTACTAATCTATCCAAAAACTTGAACTTCAGCAATTGAATACATCATTTAAAGGCCTTGGCGTAACATTTCACCTGCTTTTGATATAATACAAATTATCTGACTCTGTGCATCCATAATGGTTGAACAGGATTTAGCTATCCACTGAACATTACAATATGGAGACTCTGTGCGTTGTTTTCTAGCGCTCAAAACAATTGCACATACTGCTTTTGGCTAAAGAATTAGATTGCCAAAATGAAGTTTTACTACACCTATACGCTGCAACATTTTACAATATACAGGGTAACCTTTTATGCGGTATAATTAAGTTACGTTATTCTCTCCTCTCTCCCCCCCACCCTTTTAACTGTCATGGGTTTGACTGTGTATAAACTGACTAAAGTCAGTACTTTTCAACAGGTCTAGTTACAAATATAAGTTACCAAGACTATTTCACTTTAAAGGGGAAAACAAATTAGGATTCACTGTGAGCATTAACTGGATTAATATTACTCATTAGAGAAGTTCAGGCAATTCATCATTTATGTTTCTTATAACATTTATCTTGAAGACAGAGTACCAACATGGAGGTATTGGAGCACATGGGACTGATGCATTTAGAAACCCCTATCAAGAGGAGGAAGTTGCAATGGATCAGCCATGTCAGGAGAATAAGAAGACTGTATCCCCAAGAATATTTTGTACAGCAAGATTTGAGATGGCTCTAAAAAGCAGGGTTGCCCTCTATGGTGGTACCTCATTGTGCAAAAATTCTATGAAGTTGTTCAACATCAAGGTACAAAGGTGGGAGGAGTGCGCAGAATCCTGTTAGACCTGGAGGGAACATTTAGTATTGTGTGCTGCTCAACATGAAGTGGGTTTGATCCCAAAGATGGAAGCAAAGTGAGAAAGAAGGAAGCAGCATGCTGTAAACTTGCTCCAACTCGGACAACATATGCATCCATGAAACTTGTAACAGGCTATGTCACACTCTAGTTGGTTTTGTCAGCCACAAACAGATTCATCAGGCATCTGACTAGACCTCTTACATGTACACCATGATCCAAAGGGTCGATGGTTGCCTACTGCCTTGAAGACAGTGCTGTTTCTAGCCCTGGGGCTACATTTTGAAATTATAATCTGAATCCAGCATGAATGGAAGTATATTGTCAACTCTCTCTCTCTCTCTCTCTCTCTCATCTATGTACATACTTTCTATTTTATGAACATGCCTCCAGTTGCCACAATCTAGTTTGATTTTTCCTCTTGGTACACTTACATCCCGTGTCTGTCTTTCACAAGTGAAGCTCTGCCTTACCACAGGCCATGCCTGGTTTCTGTGTATGCCCATAGTATATACCCTGTGCTTTCCTAGTTGCAGTCTTTCAAAAATGAAGGACTTTGGAATAGGATGGTCATGCTAAAAAGAAGAGCAGCAGACAAAGGTGGAGACATTTCCACGTGAAGCACACCAGGCAAATGATTTTTTTTCCACTAGACCAATTTATGACTGATACAAAGTACAGGGAAGATTCTGCACAGTACAACAATAGTGCAA